AATATATATATATATATATATATATATATACATATATATATATACATATGTATAAATATACATATATATATAAATATACATATATATATAAATATGCATATATATATATAATATGAGTACGCATGTAAATGCATGCAAAGAGAGTGTAAATATAAAAGAAGAATAAACAAAAAAAGAGACAGCCACAGACCCTCTGCAAATATAAACAAAAGGAGACAGTTAACAACCTCAAGACAAATAAACAAACAAACTAAATAAATAAATAAATAAATAAATAAATAAATAAACAAATAAATAAATAAGTGTCCTCACCTTCTTGATGTTTAGCTATTGCTTTTGCTGCTAAGGGGCCCATGTGCTGATTATAATAAAAATTAAAGATGTCGTACTTCAACTCCTTCATCAGCGGTTTAAAGCTGCTGTCCTCTAAATGCATGCGAGTCTTCATGCGCTGCCCCTCACGACGGTAACGGAACGCCATTGTTGCTGCTGCTGCTGCTGCTGCTGCTGCTGATGCTGCTGATGCTGCTGATGCTCCTAGTGCTGGTTGTGGTGGGGGTGGTGATGCTGCTGCTGATGTTGTTTATTGTTCTTGCTGCTGCAGCTGCTGTTGCTGCTGCTGTTGCTGTTGTTGCTGCTGCTGTTGCTATGTTGTTGTGCTGCTGTTGTTGCTCCTATTGCTGCTGCTGCTGCTCTAGCTGCTGCGGTTGCTGTTGCTGCTATCGGCGCTGCGCTGCTGCTGCGGCTGCTGCTGCTGCTTTCGCTGCTGCGGTGGTTGCTGCTTCCTGGTGCTGCTACTGTTGCACCTGCTGCTGCAGCAATAGAGTTTTTCTTAACTTGCTGGTTAGATTAATTACGAAGTTGCGGTGTACATACACCGCAGACCCTGGGGCCCCCCGGGGCCCTTTAAGAGGCCTAGGGGCCCCCCTCCCAGGGCAACAGCTTGGGGTTTAGGGTTTAGGGTTTAGGGTTTAGGGCTGAGCCGCACAAGTATCTGTACAGGAGGCCCTCCAGGCCCTGCAGCAGCTTCGGGCCCCCCTTCCTGGCGAGGGTTTAGGGTTTAGGGTTTAGCTAGAGGGTTTTATATTTCGAAGTATATATGAAGGAGACAGCAGCAGCAACTAAAACAAATAATAACAAAGAAGACAAATAACAAAGGAGACAGGAGACAGCAAACAATCGGGCATACACACATCCAGCCCCAACTTGCATGCGCACACATTAACCCTAAACCCTAAACCCTAAACCCTCAACCATAACAATTTTCTGAGAATCTGTTTGAATCGGATGCCCAGTCAATGGTGTGCCTTTAAACCCTAAACCCCCAAACCCCTAAACCACAAACCCTAAACCCTAAACCCTACACCCTGCAACGAATGTCCGGGCGTGAGCCCTAAACTGTAAACCCTAAACCCTAAACCCTCACCACATAAGACAGAGGGCGGCGGTAGCCCTTGTCTGTATGCTTAGCCGTTCACTTGCAGCCCTAGCTACCTGTCTCGCTAGCTAGCTGCTTGGCTAGCTGCCCACTTGGCTAGCTAGCTAGCTGTCTGGCTAGCCAGCTAATTGCTTGGCTAGCTCGGCGCCTGGTTATAGCTAGCTGCGCGGCTAGCTGATAGTTCTGCGTGTGGCTAGCTGGGAGTCGACTGGTTGAGTACCTAGCTAGCTAGCTAGTCAACTAGCTAGCTAGCTGGCTAGCTCGCTGTCGGGCTAGCTGAGAAGTTTGGGGCAGCCTACTGCTGTTGCTGTTGCTGCTGCTGCTGTTGGCGCAGCCGCGGCAGCGCAGCAGACTGTCTCTGTTTGTATGCCGCTTTGGTGTGTTGTTCGTCTCTGTCTCTTCGTTTTGTTTTCTCGTCCCTCCTTCTGTTGCTGCTGTTTGTCTCTGCCCTTGTCTTCCTGCTGCTGCTGTCTCTGCTGCTGCTGCGGGGCCCCCATTGCTTCTGTTTTCGGCTCTGTCTACTGCTGCTGCTGTTTATCTATTTGCCTGTCTCCTGCTGCTGTACCTGCGCTTGTCTGCTGCTGCTGCTGCTGCTGCTGCTGCTGTGTCTCTGTGTGTCCTGTAGAGGCAGCTCAAGGCATCTCCTCATATTAGGGTTTACGTCTAGGGTCTAGGGTTTACGTCTAGGGTTTAGGGTTTAGGTCTAGGGTTTAGGGTTTCGCTTAAGTAGCCAACTAAAGTCATTTAAATTAAATCTTCTTCACCCCTCTAAACCCTTTCTTCTTCCCTTACAAACAAAGCCCCAAAACAACCAACCACTAAACAACACAAACACACATAACGGCCCCACAGGGGCCCCCATAGGGGCCCTCAAAGGGGCCCTCATAGGGGGCCCCATAGGGGCCCTCATAGGGGGCCCCAAAGGGGCCCTCATAGGGGGCCCCAAAGGGGCCCTTAAAGAGACCCCCATAGGGGCCCTTAAAGAGACCCCCATAGGGGCCCTTAAAGAGACCCCCATAGGGGCCCTTACAGGGGCCCCCATAGGGGCCCTTACAGTGACCCCCATCGGGGCCCCCACAGAGACACTTACGGATACCCTAATAGAGGCCCTTACAGGGGCCCCCATAAAGGATTTCAGTGGGGCCCCCAGAGGAGCCCTTTGCAAGGGCCCCTAGGCAAATGCACTGAGGTCCCTACGGGGGGCCCTTGAGGGGCCCCCTCACAACACACCAAGGGCCCCGTGGACCCACGGGGGCCCCCTAAAAGACCCCGGGGGCCCCACAGGGCCCCTTGAACGCCCTCTGGCGCCCAAATAGGGGCCTTGGGGGCCCCCTACGGCCCCTGAAGCATCGTAGGGGCCCAAGGGGGCCCCCAAAGGGCCCCCTTGGTCCGTGGGGCCCCACAGGTGCCCCCGGGTGCCCCTAGAAGACTTCATGGGGCCCCACGGGGGCCCCCCTAGGGCCCCTAAGAGGGTTCATGGGGCCCTACAGGGGCCCCCTGGTGGTGCCTCTAAATGGCGGTGCAGGGCCGACCTGGGTACGCCAAAGAAAGAGGGGGGCCCCCTGGGTACTGAGAAAGAAGTACGGGGGGCCCCTATGGGCCCATGCGGCAGCATAGGGGCCCCCAAAGGGCCCCTCAAGACCCTATGGGGGCCCCCTAAGATACCTTAGGGGGCCCCACGCAGTACTCTCTTAAAGCGGCCTCCTAGAGAAGCTGATATTCACTTCAAAAGAAGAGGGCCCCCTGAGGCCCAAGCAGTGGGGGCCCCTACTGCCTACGACGGTGGACGCCCTGCTGCCTGCTGCTGTTTCTTGCTGCTGCTGCTGCTGCTGCTGCTGCAGGAGACACAGGAGGGGGGGCTTCCTCTTCTGGTGAGAGGCCCTTTGCTAAGACTTGTAGCAGCAAAATTACTGGCAGCACCCACCAGTATGTCTGCAACAAGGAGGGTTGCTGCTGTTGCTGCTGCTGCTGTTGCTGCTGCTGCTGCTGCTGCTGCTGAGTAGTCGCGGGCTGCGGTGTTGCAGCAGCAGGAAGCAGCACGGAGGCATTTGCTTCTTTAGGAGAAGATACCAGCAGCAGAGCAGGCTTCTCGAAGGAACAGAAGACGCGACGGCGCTGCTGCTGCTGCTGCTGCTGCTGCTGCTGCAACTCTACTGCTGCTGCTGCATCTAATAGGGATAAGCCCACGGGGTATAACGAAGAACTCCCCAAGTACAGCTCCAAAGTGAAGGGGTGCGCGGTGTCTTCACACCTCGCCAACCCTCCTTGCTGCTGCTGCTGCTGCTGCTGCTGCTGCTGTTGCTGCTGTTGCTGCTGCTGATCGCGAAGCAGAGACAGCGGAATCGTTGTTAACAGCGGTGGGGCCCCAGGGCCCCGCTCTGCCTTAAGAGACAGGGCAGGGAATAAGGACTCGTGCTCGTGCTGCTGCTGCTGCTGCTGCTGCTGTTGCTGCTGCTGCTGCTGTGCTTGCTGCAGTGCAGCAGCAAACGCCTTCCCTTGAAAGGATGTCCACTCAGCAGCAGGACCTGCAGCTGTGAAGCTGCTGAGCTCAACCGTACCCAAGGGCTTCCACTCGCTGCTGCTGCTGCTGCTGCTGCTGCTCGGCGCCCAGGGGTCTAGTATATGAAAGGATACATTTAGAATGACGCCAGACTGAGGGGCTGCACGACACTGGGGCTGCAGCAGCAGCAGCAGCAGCGGCAGCAGCAGCAGCAGCAAAAGCCTCCCAACTTGGGAGCGGCGCGCCATGGGTTCCTTCTTGCTGCTGCTGCTGTTGCTACTGTTGCTGTTGTTGTTGTTGCTGCTGCTGCTGTTATATATGTATCTAATTAGGTGGGCCCTCTGCGGCTGGGTTGCTGTCTTGCTGCTGCTTCTGCGGCAGCAGCAAGTCTTCTCGCTGTGCTGCAGCAGGAAGTTTACTGCTGCTGCTGCTGCTGCTAAAGACACCTGATTTTCTACGGTGTTTTACTATAAGGAAAAAGACAATAGAACCTTGGAGAGCAGCAGCACCCTCTGCTGCTGCTGCTGCAGTGGCTGCTGTTGTTGCTGCTGCTGCTGCTGAGGGGCTTTGTCCCTGAGCTGCTGCTGGAAGGCTCCTCTACAGCAGCAGCAGCAGCAGCAACAGCAGCAAAAAGAAGCAAACCTACCCTTGAAATATTAATAAATGCAATATTGCTGATTCTAAACGACACACAGAACGGGAAGCCTTGCTGCTGCTGCTGTTGTTGCTGCTGCTGTTGTTGCTGCTGATGTGTTGCTGCTACTGTTGCTGCTGATGCTCGTTGCAGCAGCAGCAGCACGTGTCTGGGCGCCTTATTTGAGCAGTACATACACCTCAACGCCGCCTGTTGTCTCCCTTTGAGGTGTATGTACACCGCAACACCCCGCCGAAAGATATACCGCGCATCTGTCGACTGTCTCTTTGTCTCCTGTGTGTCTCTCTCTGTCTTGCTGTCTCTTCCTTTGTCTGTCCCCTCTGTCTCCCCTCTGTCTCCTCTCTGTCTGTCTCTGTCTCCTCTCAGTCTGTCTCTGTCTGTCTCTGTCTGCCTCTGTCTCTCTCTGTCTGTCTCTGTCTCTCTGTCTGTCTCCGTCTGTGTCTGTCTGTGTCTGCCTGTCTGTCTCTGTCTCCTGTCTCCTTCTCTGTGTGTCTCTCTCAATCTCTTGTTTGTCTCCTTTCTTCTGTCTGTCTCCTCCCTCAGCATATCTCTCTGTCTGTCTCTGTCTGCCTCTCTCTGTCTGCTGCCTGCTTTGTGTCTCTCTGTGTCTCCCTCAGTCTCTGTCTATCTGTCTCTGTCTCCTCTCAGTCTCTCTCTGTCTCTTCTTTGTGTGTCTCTGTCTCTGCTTGCTGTACGTTAATCTGTCTGCCTCCTCTTTTTGTCTGTCTGTCTCCTTTGTCTCTCTTTTTGTCTCCTTTGTCTGTCTCTTTTTGTCTCCTTTATCTGTCTCTCTTTGTCTTCTCTTCTTTTAATAGCTGTCTCCTCTGTCTCCTTTTAATGTCTGTCTGCTGTCTCCTTTATTTATGTCTGTCTCCTCCTGTCTCAACTCTTTTTGTCTCTGTCGCTTCGTGCGGAGACAAAAAATAAGAAGAGACAGAGACAGAGACAGAGACAGAGGAGACAACAGATACACCGGGGAGACGCGCAAAGACAGGAGGAGACACATTGAGGGTATATAACTAAAATAAATAAATAAATATAAATAAGTATATATATATATATATATATATATATATATATATATAAGGTGTCTCGTGTCTCTTGCTAGCGCTGCTGCTGCTTCCTGCTGCAGCAGGCTTTCTCTTTATAAGCAGCAACAAAGCAACGCCGCTGGCTGTCTCCTGCTGTTCACCCCACAGACGATGGAGACAGCTGCTTTAGAGACACCTGCTGCAGCTGCTGCTGCCGCTTCTTTCGGCCCGCAGCAGCAGCAGCAAACATAAGAAAACTGCAACAGCAGCAACAGCAGCAGAGAAGCTACCCTAGGATAACTGTCTCTCTTCTGTCTCTACTTTATGCTGTCTCCTTCTCTGTCTCGCCTTTGGCGTTGCTGCTTCGTACGCTACTGCAGCAAATGCTTCGTCTCCATCACAGCAGCTGCGGCAGCAGCTGCAGCAGTTGCTGCTGCTGCAGCAACTGCCTTGAGGCTTGGCTCTCAGCACCAAACCCACCAGCAGCTGCTGCTGTCTCTGCGGGGAGCAGCAGCTGGCTAACTAACTGCCTAGCTCCTTAACTAGCTAGCTAGCTAGCTAGCTAGCTAGCCGGTTGACAGGCTTGTTTGGTTAGCTAGCCAACTCTGCCTTTCCAGCCAAGAGAGAGTCCGCGCACAACAACGTCGCGAGATACGAGCAGGCCAGGGCTAGCTAGCTAGCTAGCTAGCTGGCTAGCTAGCTAAACAGCTAGCTAACTGACTGGCTAGCTAGCTGGCCAGCCAGCAGCGTGCCCATTGAGTCAGCCCGGCAGCTAGCTAGCCAGCCAGCCAACCAGCCGTCGCACTCCGGCTAGCTAGCCTGCTAGCTATCTGGCTAGCTATCTAGCTAGCTAGCTAGCTAGCCAGAGCTCCATGGCTGAGTCTCGTATGCGGGCCCAGCCCGCAGTCTCTGTTGCATGCGGCGCTCGAAGCGCAGCAAGGTGCAGCTAGCCACGCAGAAGGGCCCAGCTAGCCACACAGTAGAGGCAGCTAGCCAAGCAAAAAGGCCCAGCTAGCCACGAAGTAGAAGCAGCTTGCAGATAGGTAGCAGCTAGCTAGCACCTAGCTAGCAGCTAGCTAGTAGCTAGCTAGCAGCTAGCTAGCCGGCCGCTTGCGCAGCAGCTCCTCAATCTTTCGCGCGTCCTGCACAAAGACGGAGACAGTTAAGGGGACAAGTTTGGCTGCAAGCCGGCAGCAGCAGCAGCAGCAGCGGCAGCAGCTGCTGCTGCGGCAGCAAGACCAAGAGCATCAGCAGCAGCACTACAGCTACAGCTGGGGAACATCGAAAGCAGGAATCAACAGGCACAAGGAATGCCGCAGCAGCAGCAGAAGCAACAGCAGCAACAACAGTAGCAGCAGCAGCAGCAGCAACAGAAGCAGCTACGCACCGCTTGAGGGCTGATGCGCTGCAGCAGCAGCAGCATCTCCGCCCTGTCTGTCTCGTCTATCAGATCGGCACCCAAGGCGAGGCAGCTGCTGACGAGGAGAGAGAGTCTGTGCTGCTGCTTCTGATGCTGCTGCTGCTGCTGCTGCTGCTCTTGCTGCTGCTGCAGCAGCAGCAGCCACTTCACCGGCAGCAGACGCACAAAGCCGTGCAGCACCAACAAGCCCTTCCGTCTGGGGAGCAGCTGCAGCAGCGGCTGCAGCCGCAGCTCAAACAGATGCTGAAGCAGCAGCAGCAACAACAACAGCAGCAGCAGCAAATGCAGCACCATAAGCTAGAAGTGCAGCAGCAGACGGCATGTAGCAGAAACAGCCGACCGCATGCAAATAAAAGCACTGCACAGCAGCAGCAACAACAGCAACAACAAGAGCAGCAGCAGCAACAAGAGCAGCAGCAGCAGCAAGAGCAGCAGCAACAAGAGCAGCAACAGCAACAAGAGCAGCAGCAGCAAAACTGACATGCATAACAATATGCAGCATCAGCTGCTCGCTGAGGATTCCCTCGAAGAAGGTGGCGACCCCAACTACTTTAAGTGTACGGTGTACATACACCTCAAGCGCTGCAGCATCCGCTTGCTGCTCCTGCTGTTGCTGTTGCTGCTGCTGCTGCTGCTCCTCTGCATCAGTCCCCCCAGGCTGCTGTTGCTGCTGCTGCTGCTGCAGCAGCTGCTGTGCCCGCTTGACGCAGTGTACAGGCAGCAGACTTTCAACAGAGCTCACGAAAGAAGCGACAAATAACTGCAGCAGCTTCGTTATTGCTGCTTCTGTAACGGGGCCCCTGAACAGCAGCATCTCCTGCAGCAGTGCAGCAGCAGCAGCAGCAGAAACAAAGCTGCAGCAATCCATCTGCTGCAGCGAGTGCAGCGCCCTTGGGAAGACGACTTCCTGCACCACCTCCAGCAGAAGATCCGAGAAAGCAGCAGCAACTTCCCCAATGTTGCTGCTGCTGCTGCTGCTGCTGCTGCTGCTGCTGCTGCTGCTGCTGGCGAGAGCCTCCATAGATTGACAGAAGCTGAATATGTCTCTAATAAATTCAAAGTCAGCAACTTCACTGCCCCCCCGCAGTATTCGCCCGCTAACAACAGATCTGTCTCTCAAAGGCCCTACTCCGGTGTCTGCTGCTGCTGCTGCTGCTGCTGGAGGCGCTGCTGCTTCTCCTGAAGCTGCTGCTGCTGCTGCTGCTGGAGAGCTGTCGCCAGCAGCACCTTGCGAAGAATCAGAGGGTTTCTCTGGGTCCTCATCCGTGTTGCTGCTGCTGCTGCTGCTGTTGCTGTTGGTGCCGTTTCTGTTGTTTTTGCTGCTGCTGCTGCTGTTGTGTTTCTCTTCTTCCTCATCCTGCTGCTGCTGTTGCTGCTGCTGTAGGTGCTTGAACCACTCCGCAGCAGCAGCAGCAGCAGCAGGAGTTGAAGGCGTTAATGTAGCATCAAGGGGACACCACCACAGCAATCCCCAAGAAGAGACAGTTTCTACACTTTGCTTCAGCTGCTGCAGCAGCGGCAGCTGTTCATACACCTGAACGATGTCTTCCGGACAGTTGCGGCATGCTGCAGCAAACTCCTCTACTATCTGCCCCACCTGCAGCAGCAGCAGCAGTAGCAGCAGGGACCGAGCGATGTCAACAGCAGCAGACGTAAGAGAAGAAGAAGCAGAAGCAGAATCAAGAGCAGCAGCAACAGCAACAACAGCCTCAGCAGTAGCAGCAGCAACAGCCCAGGAAGGGTGCAGCGGAGACAGCAAAAAGAGAGACAGTAAAGGCGAGGTGAGAGACTACAAGAAGGAGACAGATAAAAAGCAAAGAGAGACAGACACCAGAAGAGATAGAGACAGACAAAAGGAGACAAAAAACAGACAAAAGAGGAGACAGCCAAAGAATGAGACAATATATATATATATATATTTACATATATATACATATATATACATTATATATATATATGCATATATATATATATATATAGAGAGAGAGAGAGAGAGACAGAGACATACAGAGAGAGAGAGGAGACAAACGCACGAAGAGAGACAAAGAGACAGAGATGGAGACAAAAGGAGACAAAAGGAGACAAAGGAGACAGAAGGAGACAGGAGGAGACGAAAGAGACAGAAGGAGACAGAAGGAGACAAAGGAGACAGAAGGAGACAGAAGGAGACAAAAGGGGACAGAAGGAGACAGAAGGAGACGAAAGAGACAGAGACAAACCCACCTCTTTATACTCGGGCCGCACATCAGCGAAGATCTCCGCAGCAGCCTGCAAAAACTGTCTCTTTGTCTTGTGCCTCTTCGAACAGCTGCTGCTGCTGCTGCTGCTGCTGCTGCTGCTGCTGCTGCTGCTGGGCCCCTCTTCATCGCTAGTGAACAAAGCAGAGCCCAGCACTTCGCCCCAGCATTCGCTGCTGCCAAGTGCAGCAGGATCTACTTCCACATCTGCTGCTGCTGCTGCTGCTGCTGTCGCTGCTGCTGCTGCTGCTGCTGCTGCTGTTCGTGCTGCACCAAAAGCTTCGATAGCTTCAGGCGAAGAGGGATGCGGAGACTTCCGAAGCCGCCGCAGCACCTGCCCCAGCGGCTGCTGCTGCTGCTGCTGCTGCAGCTTCGGGCCGTATCTGTAACACAAAAATAACGTAAACCCTAAACCCTAAACCCTACACCCTACACCTTAACTACAGCACACAGCAGCTGCGCTGTAACAGAGGTGGGGCGCACAGGGATGCAGCAGCAGCAGCAACAGCAGCAGCAGAAGCAGCAGCAGCGGGAGCGATTCGGGTTCAAACCCTCCTCGGTTACCCTCAGTCAACCACCGTAAACCCTAAACCCTAGACACACCTCCTCCTTCTCTTTTGCAGACTCAAACTCCTGCCGAATTCATCAATGCGTTCAGGCAGCAAACGGCCAATGTCCCCCAAACGGCGTTGAGTCCTGCACCCAAACCCTAAACCCTAAACCCTAAACCCTAAACCCTAAACCCTCATTTGCCCCTAGGGGGCGCGACAAATAGAACAGGGTGGTCTAAACCCTCAGCTCAGCTGCGCAGAGCTGAGGGTTTAGATCTCCGCAGGGGTTTAAGGTAAGCAGGGGTTTAGGGCTAGGGTTTAGGGTTTAGCAAGGGTTTAGGGTTTAGCAAGGGTTTAGGGTTTGTCGTACCTCCTGTCTGCATCATCCGTCTCAAGCGCCTGCAGCGCCTCCACCGCCATCTTCACCGCGGGTTTCTTCTCGTCTGCGCAAACCCTAAACCCTAAACCCTAAACCCTAAACCCTAAGCCCTAAACCCTAAACCCTAAACCCTCGTGCGAAAAGGAAGAGAAAAAGAAAGGGCACCAGGAGTTTGCTTAGGGTTTTGCTTTGCTGTCTATTAAAGCGGAGGGTTTAGAATCAAATTATGTCGGCTGAGTGCTAGGGTTTAGGGTTTAGGGTCTAGGGTTTAGGGTTTACGAATGCAGCCGCTGAGGTCTTCAATGTACATCAAGAACTCCTGCAATCGCTGCAGCCGCCGCTCCGTTTCTGAAAGCAACACCAAACCCTAAACCCTAAACCCTAAACCCTAAACCCTAAACCCTAAACCCTAAAACAACAAATCCTAAAACCCAAAACAATAGGCCCTCATTCTCTATGCGCCGCATAAGCCAAGCATCCAAACCCTAAACCCTAAACCCTAAACCCTAATGAGAAGAGGCTCATGTGGGGCCGCCTTACTGAGTTGTTTGACTTCAAGAGCCGCTATTCGAGTTGCTGCTGCTTTCTTGGTGTATATTTGCTGCTGCTTCTGTTGTTGCTGCTGCTGCTGCTGGTCCGCCTGCATCTCAGCCTGTTCTTCTATCCAAGCAACTGCTGCTGCTGCTTGCTGCTCTGCGCTGCTGCTGCTGCTGCTGCTGCTGCTGCTATTGTTGCTAGCCCACAGCTGAGCAAAGCATTTTGTTGCTGTTGCTGTTGCTGCTGCACTCGCCGCTCTCCTAGGCTCTGCTGCAGGGCGAATGGAGCTGCTGCTGCTATCATCACCATCAGCAGCAGCAGCAGCAGCAGCAGCATCCTGAGGCCCAACGATGCCGCTGAATGAGCTCAAAATCATCTGCTGCTGCTGCTGCTGTTGCTCCTCAAGTTGCTGCCGCTGTCGCCTCTCAAGCTTCTGCTGCTGCAGCAGCAGCTGCTTCCTTCCAGCTCCTGAACGAAAAACAAAAGCAGCAGAAGCATCAGCAGCAGGACTGTGAGCAGCAGCAGCAGAACGCAGCAGCACCAGCCGCAGCAGGCGCACCAGCCGCAGCCAGTCGTAGCACCTGCCGCAGCAACCAGAAGCAGCAGCAGCACCAGCAATTAGCAGCAACAGCAGCAGCAGCAGCAGCAGCAGCAGCACCTTTCATGATTTGCTCTCGCTCCCAGGCCTCAACTGCTGCCTGCTCCGACTCCTCTGAGAGCTGCTGCAGCAACGGCACCCCCCGCAGCTGCAGCATTGCTTCTCTTGCCAGCCAGCTCTTGCTGCTGCTGCTGTTGTTGCTGCTGCTGCTGCCTGTTGCTGCTGCTTCGTCTTCCTCCGTGTACTCGCCGAAACAGGAGACACTCGGGGTTCCTGCCTTGTGGCTGCTGCTGCTGCTGCTGCTGCTGTCTGCTGCTCTCGCCTGCTGCCTGGAGCGCCGCGCCATCTGCGCGAGTGCAGCAAAAGGCAGCTCTGCTGTTCCGTCATCTGCTGCTGCTGCTGCTGCTGCTGCTGCAGCAGACTTGCGGTCTTCCAGCTCCGCCAATGAAAAGATGCGCGGCTCAGCAGCAGCCTCGCGGCTTCTTGCTGCTGCTGCTGCTGCTGGTGATGCTGCTGCTGCTGCTGGTGAAGTTGTGCGAGGCCCAGCAGCAGCATCTGAAGGACCCAAACCTCTTGATGTCGACTGCCTGCTGCTGCTGCTGCTGCTGCTGCTGCTGCTGCTTCGCGGGCTGCAAAGAGACAGACATTCGCAAGGCTGTATATGCATGACTCAGCACAATGAGGCTGCTGCAGCAGAAGCAACAGTAGCATCAGCAGCAACAGAATCAGCAGCAGCAGCAGCAGCAGCAAGAGCATCCGGAATGCCCACAGCAGCAGCAACTGCTGCTGCAACAGTTGCGGAAGCAGCAGCAGCAACAATCATCAGAGACAGCTAAGCATTTGCAAAGCAGCAGCAACATGAACATTGAAGGCCTCACTTAAACTCATGTCGTCTGCTGCTGCTGTCTTTGCTGCTGCTGCTGCTGCTGCTGCTGCTGCTGCTTTTGCTGCTGCTCTTGCTGCTGCTGCTGCTGCTGGCATGCGTCGCCTTCAGAACAATACCCACACTGCCCGTGGGGTTGACTACGACCACAGGTTTGCTGCTGCTGCTGCTGTCTTTGCTGCTGCTGCTGCTGCTTCCCCTCTGTCTAGCATCCGGGTCTCGGCTGCCGCTGCGCCGACCACCTGAATCCTTGCTGCTGCTGCTGCTGCTGCTGCTCTTGCTGCTGGCACTTCGTGGCTTGCTGCTGCTAGGCAGCTGCTCCTCAAGGAATTCCCTCACTGCTGCTGCTGCGCCCCGTTGCTGCAGCAGCAGCAGCAGCAACAGCACACGCCCCACAACCCTCCAGCTCTTAAAAACAAACTGCATGCGCAACTTGTCCAAGGGTTTAAGGTTTAGGCTCAGCTAGAGGCTTTTGTCTTTTAGGGTTTATACTACTAGGGTTTAGGGTTTTCGAGTGTATACTATTAGGGTTTAGGGTTTTAGGGTTTAGGGTTTAGGGTTTACGCACCACAGGGGGTGTTTCGTCGTCCCCGAAGCCAAAGCTGAGTCGCTGTGCTCTTGCTGCTGCTGCTGCTGCTTGCTGCTGCTGCATAAGCTGCTGGTGCTGCTGCTGCTGCTGCACGAATACGCGGCTGCTTCCTACTGCACAAGCTCCAGCAGCAAGAAGCTTCTTTTTGGGTTGCTGCTGCGCCAGCAGCCCCCGCTGCTGCTGCTGCTCGAGGTGTTGCTGCTGCTGCCGCAGCAGCTGCTGCTGCAGCGGCTCGTCTGCTTCTAGCTCTTCTAGGGCACTCTGAAAAGTGCTGTCTAGAAGCTGTAGCTCAGCAGGAAGAGCAGCAGCAGCAGCTGCTGCTGCTGCATGCGACTTTGCTGCGGTTACTGCAGCGCTCTGCCGGATGCTATATGCTGCTGCTGCTGTTGCTGCTGCCGCAGCAGCTGCTTGGGGAGGCGAAGGAAGCCCTGCTGCAGCTGCTGCTGCCGCCTTCAGAACAGCAGCTCTCGGTGTCTGCTGCTGCTGCTGCTCTTCCTCCTCCTCCTCATCGCTGCTCTCTGTCTTTGCTTTGCGAGCCTGGCGTACAACGCCGCGGCGGGCAAACAGAGCCATCTTGTGCTGCTACTGCTGCTGCTGCTGCTGCTGCTGTGAAGGGCAGTGTCCCCTGTGCGGCTGAAGCCGCTGCTGCTGCTGCTGTTGCTGCTGATACTGATGCTGCTGTTTAAACTGCTGCTGCTGCTATTGCTTCTAGAAGAGATTCCATGCAGCCAAGAGAGAAACTAAGTGAGGCCTTCTCTTCTGCTGCTGCTGCTGCTGCTGTTGTTGCTGCTGCTGCTCCTGCTGCAGTTGCTGCTACTCTTATTTCTGCTGCAGCAGCGAGACAGCCAAATCGCATACACAACTAAAAATAAGTATAGATACAGCAGGAGTAAGAATCTCAGCAGCAGCGATCAGCAGCAGCTGCAGCCGAAGCTGCTGCTGCTGCTACTGCTGCTGCTGCGGCTGCTGCTGCTGTTGCATGCGCTGCTCGAGTAATCTCATTAAGGCCTGACTGCTGGAGCCGCTCTGTTTTTAATAAATTAAACAAACAGCAAAATAAATAAAAGTAAAAAACCCTTTTAAATATACACTCCAGCGATGCAGTGTTGGCTTCGGTGACCTCGGGGGCTCTCCGGCATTAGGGTTTAGGGTTTAGGGTTTAGGGTTTAGGGTTTAGGGCTTACGCTCCAGGGACAGCATTTGCGTCCTCTGGGTGTCCCCTTGCTGCGGGAGGGCCCCACAGCACAAGCCTGCAGCAGGTGGAGCGGCGAGGGAGCGACAGCAACTGCAGCAGCAGCAGCAGCAGCAGTAGCAGTTGCAGCAACAGCAACTGCAGCAACCGCAACAGCAACAACAGCAGGAGCAGCAACAGAAAAAACAGCATCAGCAGCAGCCACAGACTTCTGAAACGGGGAGCAGCAAACGGAGCAGCAGCAGCACCAACAAATGCAGCAGCATTAGCAGCAGCAACGACACCAGCAGCAGCAGCAGCAGCAGGGAGGGAAGCAGCAGGATGTCAGCGGAGTGATGAGTTTGCGTCTTTTTTGAGTTCGGCAAATGGAGCAGCAGCAGCAGCAGCAACCGCAGCAGCCGCGGCAGCAGCAACCGCAGCAGCAGCATCAGCAGCAGCAGCCGCAGCAGCAGCAGCAACAGCAGCAACTGCTGCTGCAGCAAGCCATTCAGGACATACACCGCGCGGAGTTCGTGGCCGTAGATCTGGGTAATGCAGCAGCACGGAAGCGCATGCAGAAAGCAGCAGCCGCAGCATTAGCAGCAGCAGCAGCAGCAGCATTAGCAGCAACATCAATTAGAAAGGCCGAACGAAAAACAGAAGTTGATGCAATAAAAAAAGGAGACAAAAAGGAAAAACCCTGGGCACGAAATTAGGGTTTAGGGTTTAGGGTTTAGGGTTTAGGGTTTAGGGTTTAGGGTTTAGGGTTTAGGGTTTGAGGGAGAAGGGCTCCTTAGCCACCGTCTCTGAAGATGCAAGAGAAGGTCTAGGGTTTAGAGTTTAGCTGCAGAGTTTACGGGTCTGCTGCTGGAGCAGAGGGCTCGCGCGACTTCGCTGGAGCGGTATTACAACGACTGCCGCAAGGCAGTGCAGCAGTTCCTCGCTCGTTAGTAAACCCTAAACCCTAAACCCTAAACCCTAAACCCTAAACCCTTAGCCTTTTCTCTCGTCCCTAGACTCTCCCTTCGTGCTGCATACAGAAAGAGCGCTCAGGACACTCGCAGATGGTCTAGAAGAGATCAAACCTAGAAATCAGGGTTTAGGGTTTAGGGTTTAGGGTTTAGGGTTTGTGCTACAGCTCAAATTGGGATTTGCTGCGCGAGGAGAGATGAGGAAAACCCTCATCAGTGGATACTGCAGCCCTATACCTTTGACGCGCATCCGCGGGTGAGGCTTCTAAACCCTAAACCCTAAACCCTAAACCCTAATTTGATGCTTGAAACCCTAGGTCAAGGCCTTTACCCTCGCTTCTGTTCTCGCCCATAGAGCACCGAGAATGCTTCTCTAAACCAGCCCCTCCCCTTCCCTCTAAGGTTTAGGGTTTAGGGTTTAGGGTTTAGGGTTTAGGGTTTAGGGTTTAGGGTTTGTGGGTTCAGAGAGGGCGAAGCATCTTTTCCGTAGACCTGAAGGCGCTGCGCTTTTTGCAGCGGAATGGATTTGATTTTAACAAGTGGATCGCTGCAGGGCACGTAAACCCTAAACCCTAAACCCTAAACCCTAAGCCCTAAACCCTTAAACCCTAAAGCCTAATTCCTGCAACTAGTGGATCGCTGCGGGGCACGTAAACCCTAAACCCTTAAACCCTAAGCCCTAAACCCTAAACCCTATTTCCTGCAACAAGTGGATAGCTGCGGGGCACTTAAACCCTAAACTCTAAACCCTAAACCCTAAACCCTTTAACGAGTGGATGGTTGGGGGCACGCAAACCCTAAACCCTTAAACCCTTTTCTTAAAGAGTGGCTGGGGCTCACGCAAACCCTAAACCCTAAACGGTCGTTCTTGCGCTGTATATAGGGGGATGCATGGCGTTGCTGCATAGAAGTTAGGTCTAGGGTTTAGGGTTTAGGGTTTAGGGTTTGACCGCGATGGTTGTGCAGCCTTGACTATGAGCGGCTCTGCGAGGTGCAGCAGCAGCAGCAGCACCGCGAAACCCTTGAAGCAATGCACGAGCAGATAAAGCAGCAGCAGCAGCAGCGCCAGCAGCAGCAGGAGCAGCAGCAGCAGGAGCAGCAGCAGCAGGAGCAGCAGCAGCAGGAGCAGCAGCAGGAGCAGCAGCAGGACCTGAAGAGTCATAGACGAAAATCTAGGGCCCCTTGCGATCAGGAGAAAGCTCCCAATGAAGACGCTAGTACGAGCGGCGGCGGCAGCAGCAGCAGCAGCAGCAGCGGGAACAGCAGCAGCGACGACGAGGCACCCACGGAAGGAGGCTCATCTCAGCAGAAAGCAGCAGCAGCAACAGCAGCAGCAGCAGCAGGTGGCGGAGCATCTGCTGAGACTCCACAGCGAGTGAGTGCAGCACCCGCAGCAGCTCCGGTCTGGGCCAAGGCATCCGCAGGCAGCAGCAGCAGCAGCAGCAGCAGCAGCAGCGCGGGTTTGTCGCAGTTAGCTGGGGCCCTCATAGAAGCAGAGGCCCCCTTGGTGCTGCATAATGGTTTGCTAGATTTGCTGCACTTGACTGAAAAATTTGTTCAAGATATACCCTCTTCATTGGCGGACTTCGCTCAAGAGGTCTCGAGGCAAGTTAGGGTTTAGGGTTTAGGGTTTAGGATTTAGGGGATAGGGATTAGGGCTTGGGGGTTAGAGCTTATGGGCTAGGAGTTAGGTTTAGGGGTTAGGGTTTGGGGTTTAGGGTTTGCCTAGGGTTTAGGGTGTAGGGTCTGCCTAGGGTTTAGGGTTTAGGGTCTGCCTAGGGTTTAGGGTTTAGGGTTTAAGGTTTGTTGGTGCTGCAGACTGTTTAGTGGTGGGGTGTACGACACAAAATACATCGCCACGCATCTAACTCCCTGCAATACCTTCGGCAGGTAAACCCTAAACCCTAAACCCTAAACCCTAAACCCTAAGGCCCCCGTAGGGCCTTTCTTTTTTGCTGCTGCTGGGACCAGAGAGGCAGCTGCAACGCTATAGCCACAGGAGCACTCGGGTTTGGCGAGGGTTTAGGGTCTAGGGTTTAGGGTTTAGGGTTTGTATGCGTAGGACGGCCCTGCATGCGTTAAGAAATCACTTGCTCGCAATCCCCGGGCTTAACTGCTGCTTTATAATGGATGAGAAGCGCAAGGCTTCCTTTGACTTCTCTTTCAAGGTAAACCCTAAACCCTAAACCCTAAACCCTAAAGCGTAGACGCAAATCCACGCTTTAACTCCAAAGCTCCAGCTGATGCGGCAGAGGCGTTTGAGGCTCGGCAGATGAAGAGTTCTAGGGTTTGGGGTTTAGGGTTTGGGGTTTAGGGTTTAGGGTTTGGGTGTTTGCAGGAATTGAACATCGCGCACGAGCTGCCAGACGCGCGGAGCCACGAGGCGGGTTTCGACGCTCTGGCGACAGCGCAGGTCGGTGTTAGGGTTTAGGGTTTAGGGTTTAGGGTTTGGGGTTTAGGGTTTGGAGCTGAGCATCTGGGGACTTCTTCTCGTTTGGTTTTGATGGTGTTGTTTGTGGTTTAGGTCTTCGTCTGTTTGCTCGCTGCGGAGGCAAAGAGCAAGCAAGCAAAGTGCGTCTGTCTAGGGTTTAGGGTTTAGGGTTTTGGGGTGTACAGGCAGCTCGGCCAGCCAGGTCCACGAGTCTCCTTTCTGGTGCAGACCCTTTATATTGTCTCTATCAGGAAGCTTGAGGTGTACATACACCTCAGCAGAAGTATTGAGGTGTATATACCCCTCAGCAGAGGTATTGAGGTGTATATACATCTCAGCCTCCTTTTGTTGATTTGTCTGCAGGAAGGTCTCCTTGTCTCTCCTCAGTGAGGGCAGAGACATTATTGGGGTCCCGGGTGTACACCCAGGGTACTTGAAGCTGCAGCAATATCTTGGCGAGGAGGAGACAGCGCAGCAGCACGCCTCCAGCAGCAGCAGCAGCAGCAGCAGCAGCAGTAGCAGTAGCAGCAGCAGCAGCAGCGACGACAGAGTTGAGGAGCCGCCGACAGCCAAACGCAGCAAAAAGCAAAGGGCTCGCAGCGCGTCTCCAGGGGGAGTTTCTGCCGCTGCAGTTGCTTCTGCTGCTGCAGTTGCTGCAGCAGCAGCAGCTGCTGCTGCTGCTGCTGCTGCTGCTGCCCAGGGAGGAGAGGCCGTGCCACGACGCGAAGCGCGCACCAACCGCAAACGCGGCTAAGACAATAATATGTAGTTTTTGTTATATATAAATAAATAAATATATATTTATATATATATACAGATGTACATATAGTTATATATATAGTTAGAGCAATATATAGCGACCTACGGAAACCCTTAGCTAGGGTTTAGGGTTTAAGGGATGTCTTCAGCTAGGGTTTAGGGTTTAAGGAATACCTCAACTAGGGTTTAGGGTTTAGGGTTTAGGGTTTAGGGAATACCTCAGCTAGGGTTTATGGTCTCCTGAACCCTAAGGATTAAGAAAGACTTCAGCTAGGGTTTAGTGTTTAGGAAACATCTCAGCTAGGGTTTAGGGTTTAGGGTTTCATGAATACCTTCATGAGGGTTTGGGGTTTAAGAAAGCAAAGGAGGGTTTAAGCGGCTCCCACTCCACATGCTCCTCAAGCCCTGGTCAACCCTAAACCCTAAACCCTAAACCCTCAGCCCCCTACAGTGAAGAGTTCTTGAGCCCCTAAGCAACCTTGGCTGAGACAAGAAGAACAGCGATTCTACAAGGGCTTGCAGACCTGTGATGGTTTAGGGTTTAGGGTTTAGGGGTTTTGATTTTGAAGCGCTAGGCCAGAGAGGTAGGGTGTAGACTCCAAGGGTTTAGGGTTTGTGAGACCCGTAAACCCTAAACCCTAAACCCTACTCGGAGCGCTTCGGGTTGCTAGTGTGCCTACCTGAGCCCCAAGCCCCCGATCTAGGGCTTTTAGGGCTTGCTAATAAACCCTAAACCCTAAACCCTAGCCCCAGGGTTTAGGGTTTATAAACCCTCATCAGCAGCTAAACGCAAGAATGTCTCCCGCGTCATGGGGCCCCCATGAGATAAATCAAATTTTAGTTTGTAGAAACAGCCGTCCGCTGTCAGAGCTGCACATACACCTCAAAACCCTAAACCCTAAACCCTAAACCCTCAAACCCTACAGCCTAAACTGTACACACCATACGCGCCCCAGCAGCTCCTAAACCCTAACCCCCCAACCGCAAACCCTAATAAACCCTAGTAATAAACCCTAATAATAAACACTAATACTAAACCCTAATAAGCCCTTAACCCTAAACCCTAAAACCCTAAACCCTAAACCCTCAACCCACCTAAAAGGGTTTGCGGCTCCTGGCCAAACGCACAGACCGCTGCGAAGTTTTCCGAGAAGTGAAACCTGAGAAAAAACCCTAAACCCTAAACCCTAAACCCTCAAGACCAACTGGATCTCCTTGCGAAGCCCAACGGCTGCATACAAGCACCCCGAGAAGGGACGGCGTGGAGAGAGGGCCTTAACGGCTGAGGGTTTAGGGTTTAGGGAGGGTTTAGGGTTTAGGGTTTAGGGTTTACGGACTTGAACTGCGCCATACTCCACTCTGACTGGAAGTACGGCGATATCTTCGCAAGCAAAGGCCACGAGCTGCGCACATTCGTGCCTCCTGCAGACCCCCCGCTGCTGCTGCTGCTGCTGCTGCTGCTGCTGCTGCTATTTGGGTGGTTGTCTCCTGCCGCGTTAGCAGCAGCAGCAGCAGCAGCTGCTGCTGCTGCTGCAGTCAGAGGGTTATAGCTTGTTGCAGAAGCAACTGTCTCCCTCGTGGCGCTGCTGCTGCTAGTAATTCTTGTTGCGGTGGGTGCTGCAGCGCCCGCATGCGTAGCAGCAGGAGGGGTTCCTGCAGCAGCTGCAGCAGCAGCAGCAGCAGCAGCAGCTGCTGCTGCTGCTGCTACTTCACTCTCTCCTAAACGATATAAATGGAGGGTCCCGGTGTTGCTGCAGACAGCCAAAAGGCTGTTGCAGGGACTAATGCACAGACAGGTAATCATCGCAGGGTTAACACCTGAAGCACATAAACCCTAAACCCTAAACCCT